GATGTCTCAACTGCTCTCAGATTACTAGGTTCTAGATTTTAGCATGTCTTTCCACTTCTTTCATTGATTGCTTACCAAAACTGTGCAGAGAGAGATTTTTCGAAAGCAATTGCTGACGCTGGTCGTATTCTGCTCACTACTTGCAGATCAGGAACGGTGACAGAAAATCTTTGATGTAACTTTTGTCGGTAAGCCGAGTTGCAGTCTCTATTTTGTAAGGTGTATATTCACGCATGAGAACCGGTAATTTATTCTATAGTCCACTCATCCTTCTGCGTTGCCTGCTTCGCAGTTGAAGCTCTGGGAATAATTGCTTCTTGGGAAGCACTGGCAGGTCAGCTATAAGTGGAGATGATGTGCTTGCTAGTTCGGCTGTAGTATATTCCGGGGTTATCCCCGATCAGGGCCCGCCTGTTCAGCTCTGAGCACACGGCTCGCATGCTCTCAGCGGTGCTCCGGAAGTTCGCCGCGCCGCTCCCAGCAGACTGCTTCCGAGCCTGTACGGACGCAATTCTTGTTCTCCATACTCTATGGTGTCTGCCATCCCCTTGGCCCTGTTTGCCGCCAAATTTTCTGACGTTGCCCGTCTCCCACGTGGCTAAGTTCTCAATTGCTCGGCCGTAGGGCTGGGCTTTGGGAGACTTAATTATTATTATTATTATTATTATTATTATTATTATTATTACAATATTAATTATTACAGATTATTACAATATTATTATTATTATTATTACAATATTAATTATTACAAATTAATAAACACATATGTTCAGTTTTGGAACAGCATTTTTTTTATATTTTTGGCAAGAAATTTTGTACTGTATAAATATAACCTATTTTATTGCAGAATTTGTAAAGACCGTGTGTGTATTTATGTCAATCAATTAAAAATATCAGAGGGGGAGAAATCGAAAAAATATTCATACAAATTAATTCCCCATGGCGTCGAAGTCACCTACGGGAGAGCTTGTGTTATATCTTGCTTCGTAGAATTGCAGGAAAGTGGACATAAAACGAAAAGATACAGATATGTGCTGGTACATGTTTGTTCTTCTGCTTAAGGTCATTCTATTTTATAAATAAAAACTTATTTGAAGCAGGATACTTAGGACAACCAGAGGTGCTAAAACAGCACGTACTTTATCGTCTGTAGTAATGTTATGTAATACTATTTATATCACAATTTTTTATCCGAATTATTTTTTGTAAAACTCAGTTGAAATCGTAGAACATTTGGTGCGAAAAATGCGCAGAATGCAAGAAAGTAAAATATTTAAAAGATAATAAATAATACGATAATGATAGCGTTTGAAAACAAACGTTTATACCACTGTACTTTCATGCAAAATGGCTACCATCGATGTGCTGTTAAAGCAGTGTGCTGTAATTAAATCTTAGTCTCTTCTTTTAGAGGCATTAGTTCTTGAATTCGGAAGGCCAGTCGCCTATTTGCATCCACGAACGTTTAAAAAAGTTTTACCGGATGCTATAGAGGATGTTCGCATTGTTCGGCGGTGGTGTCGACGCTGCATAGATGTCAGAGACGAAATACGACTTGACGTAGCAGATGCACCGGAGAGCGGTCGTCCACACAGCGGTGACTGCGGACAATATCCAGCGCGTCGATGACGTCATTCGAGAAAATCGCGGGGTAACCACGAGTGAATTGTGTTCTTTAATTTCAATAGGAAAAGATAATGTAATGGCTATCATTGAACATTTGGGTTATTCACAAGTTTGTGCTCGTTGGGTACCCAAAACACTTACACGTTCCAATAAAGATGCAAGGAAAACAATAGCCGATGATTTCTTGCATCGTTATGAGATTGAAAGTCAACAGTTCTTATCAAAAATTGTAACAGATGACACATAGATTGAAACATGAATTGAAACATAGATTCATTTTTTTGAACCAGACACAAAGAGACAGTCCTTGGAATGGCGCCACTCCACATCACCCCGAAAAAAGAAACCCAAAAGTGCACCCCGAAAAAAGAAACACAAAAGTGCAGTGGGAAGGTTATGACTACTGGGTTCTGTGATGAAGAGGGAGTGATTCTTTTGGACGTTTTGGAGCAGGGAACAACAATTAACTCCAATCGATACGTCGAAACGTCAAAGAAGCTTAGGTCGCTTCCGGAGAGTTCGTGCTACGAAAAGGCAGTCGGACATTCTTCTCCACGATAATGCAAGGCCACACACTTCTCTGCTCACAACTGCAACAATTGCAGAATTTCAGTGGAAGGACCTTCCCCACCCACCTTACGAGTACATCCCAGACCTTGCTCCTTCTGACTTTCATCTTTTCTCACCTCTAAAAGGAAGTTTGCGCGGGCATCATTTTCAAGACGGTGAAAGTTTGAAGAATGCTGCGCACCAATGGCTGCGGAAGCAGGACAAAAATTTTTACCGCCAGGGAATACACGCTCTCGTACATCGTTGAACAAAAACTGTACAATTAAAAGGAGAATATTTTGAATGATAAATGATTTATAAAGAAAGTTTGAGAAATAAATTCATATTAATTTCACCTTTTTTCTTTGGAAAATAAATACGTAATAAATTCGGAGGCATTTCTTTCTGACTTTCTTTGTATATACGTTTTCGTTTTTATTTCCGGTAACTAAGAGCAGTCATTATCGTTTTGTCTGTGCGCGCGGCGTTCGGACAGTGGGTAACAACAAGCAATGACTGCTTATTAATTCGTTTTCTCATTTAACACAATTTATTAAAGGAATTTATAAAATGATACATGAAATAACATAGAAATTCTAACGTACGTACATCCAACTGCGTAAATTGGGGCGGGCGAATGAAAGCTAGAAATCTTTATTTCATATTTATTTCAAAATATGAAATATTATAAATAATTTCTAAAAAAAATATTTTTTTAAACACATAACAAAATCTCCAATGTAAGAAACGAGCAAAGAAATGTGAAATACTACACACATTCTAACATACGTAGCATCCAACTGCCTCAAAACACCTAAAATTGCGATCAAGAAGCGCAGTATTTTTAGGGGGTGACTAATTTTGACGCTCAATTACTTTAAACATACCAATAGTTACAAAAAATTCAACATGATCTTATTTGAAAATCTGTTTTTAATGAACATATTTCATTCTTATAAAAAATATCTACCTTTAATATTATAGTTGTAGGAAGACGCCGAAAAAATTTAATTTTTTTCAATTTCTGAAAAACTAGTTTTAAACGAATATAAAATTATCTTACTACATTATATATCTGTAAATGTCCTTCATACTATCCAACAACAAAATTTAATCAAAATCGATGGCTTAATTTTTTTGAAAATTTTGAAAATGTCCCAAGACCTTTATGTAAGTACCTCTGAAAATTAAAATATCATTTTCAAATTCGAGGGGAGAGACATCAGCCAAATCGGTCGGGGAATATCAACTTTAGAAAAATCGGCTGAACGGTTTATCCGCTAGCGTTGCTCATTGAGACGGACAGAATTTTTGCTATCAATCGAGTTTTCGGTATTAAGGACCCACAAAACAGGGATTCTGGCTACACCACGTGTTAGAGGATTTTTTCTAAATATAGCAACAGGATTTATGCACTTTTTCGTTACCTGAGCTCCATAATTAGATTTTCTGCCGAAAATTCGCCGTTTTTTCGCGTATCATTACACAGTACATTAACTTTCTCTTCTTAAGAAGTGCCTTCTTAAGCGCGTGAAAATAAAGAAATAAAATCTACAAAATAAAAACTGTTACGCTCAATAGGTTCAGCCATATCAAATATAGAATTATTAATAACTTTTTCTTAAAAATATGCTTAACTTTTCGTCAAAAGTGTCTTCTATTTCGAAATAAAAAAATAACTTTAAAAAAAATATATTTTTCTGGATTGTTTTTCTAAGTGTCAGAAAAAATATTGTTTAAACGCTTTTTTAACTTCGCTAATATCGTCAACAAGAATCAATGAATTCGATGTAATCGAGCAACGGTAAATTTACGAGACTGAGAGGACGACAAAAACGATTAAAATATTTTTCTGAAATATTGTGCTGCAATCTCTTCTGAACAAGATTTGATCATGCAAACTTCCGAACGCGCACTTTAAATTTTGCCATTATGGCCTGATTTTGGCCACGTTTGAACCAGCGTGTGGCTCTCTGTCCTCGTCGTTCTGCGTCTCACATTGCCCGCTCAACGCGTTGGTGTAGCGTGCTTTGCCAAATCTTCATGTTCACATTAATTGTGTTTAATTGCTAAGAGAGCACACCGGGCTGCCTATGTTCGGTTCTGCCATGATGGTTTGGTCTTGGGTGCTCTTGCTTTTGGGTGTCGAACGCAGGTCGTTAGCGCTGTTGTTCTCGTGTTGGGCGAGCTCTCCCGTTCGTCTTGCTGTCCACTGCCATTTACGCCTTTTCAAAAGCTCTTTCATTGCAATGGATTTCTTTTTTGATTCGTTCTGGATAGCCCAGCCTCCCCCTCTGCTGACGTACCGAGGCTCCATATGCCTTTACATGTATTAAATAAGATCTTTGTGAACTTCTGAATTTAGAAAATAGATGTGTATCATCACTGGGAATGTACGATTGCAATACAGTGTAAATGTCTTGGTTTCATGTCTTTTGTCTGTTGAACTTTGGCCTCTTTACTTAACATTAGTTTTACATTATACTCTCGAAATGCAGATTCAAAAACAGTGTACTTCCATATGCAAAATCGCTGTGTAATTGGCATTTCAGCATTAACCCTCAGACGTACTCGTGTCACTTAATTTAATTTTCATTGTTTTAGATATTAAATTTTAATCAAAAGTTTAGAGTTAAATGAAAATGGTCTTTTCCACAATAAACGGCATTTGTAAAACTTTTTAACCATCGTGAACGTTACCGCATTTGGTTATGAGCATGATTGGAATCTCTTGGAAACACCGATTTTCTTCCTTCTTCTTTTCACTTCTTTGATTATCTGAACTACTTGATTGCGTTGTAATTTTTTTTTTTTTTTGCTTTCAGGACATTGAACAACAACAATTTGACATCTCTGGCTAAGGATATATTTGAGGATATGTATTGGTTACGGACCCTCCGACTTTCAGATAATAATCTCATTTGCGATTGCCATTTGGCCTGGTTAGCCCGATGGCTACGCCGTTATCCTCGATTGGCACTTTATACACGCTGTTTTTCACCGCATCATCTGAAGGGTCAGAATGTCGCTGACTTGCACGATCAGGAGTTCAAATGTTCAGGTGAGGCCTAGTGGTGTAGAATTGTTGTAAACAATATTTTTAAAATACTGTAAGTATACGAAGGCAAGTAAATCTTGGAAGGCGGCCTGGAGGACGGTGATCGCTAAGGTGGGAGCACCATGGCTGCCTCGGCTCGAAGTGTCGCGGGCCCGAATTCTTTGTAGAACATGGATGATTGTATTTTTGTGTTTGACCTGTAGGATAATACATATGAGGGGGTTAAAATTAATCTGGCGAAGTCATGTTTTGTACATTTTGAGAGATAGGTTTCAGTCAATGTAATATAATAGATTAAGCAACAAATTATTAGAATTATTTTGTTTTACAATACAGAAAGATATTGTAAATGTGATTATAATTTTAAAAAATGTATTGTACCTCTGTTTTTTATTTCAAAAAGCTGATGTGACTTACAATACATTGCGTTTGAACGAACTTGAATTGATTGAAAGTGAAATAAAAACAAAAAAATATATTGACTAATTATGATTTATTCGATTAGCAAAGAATAGGCCTGCAAAGCACTATACTTTGACTGATCTCGAGAGCCGAGTGCAAATGCGGAGAAATATGAAGGGGGGGATGAGGCAATTGAGGAGGGCAAATGAGTAGGGACCACCAATAAAAGTGCACAGTTCGAACCGTTGTATGAACTGTTTCTTAGAGTATGTGAACTGTTATATGGTTTTCGATAGATGACAATGTGAATTATAAGCCTAAAGTGAATGAGACATGCGTATTGATTTGGGCTTCAACTATTTTAATTGCATGTAGGGCTGACAATGTAATTCGCTGTGTTGCAATGTAATCACAAATTTATTGTAGTGCTAAATATAAAATTTGAATTTTGAATTTTTTTGTTTGATGATGGTAATAAACTATTTCCATTATTTATGTTTAATTAATTGAGATGGTTTTATCAAAGCCAAAAAGTTTTATTCTTAAAATATCGTGATTACTTTGTGCTCTAATATCTGGCAAGAGTAAATTATACATTTCTAATATCAAATCATTAAACATTATTTGTTGGTAAACGTTTACGACATCATGTAAAACAGATTAAGCCATTTGCATTATATTGAACAATACCCGTAATAATATAATGATTGCCAGGAACATATTGATTGAGAGGTTTACTCGTTTCTCTTATTCAGATTCATAATGGAGGATAATGATCACAAATATATGTACTGTTGTTTCCATAGAACGTCATAGTTAAGTTTCACTGGGGGAGGCTTAAATCTTTATGAAGATCTCTTACATTCGACTTGCACGATATCCGATACATCCGACAATTTCGTTAGATATACTTGCATAATTTCCTTCGTTTTGCTATCATTTGGGAATTATAACGTTCCTGATTAGAAATCAATTATTAAATCGAAAATTTTTGATAGGTAGAATTATATAATATTGTTTTAAAGTTGTCATTGCATTAAAATATTGATTAAGAATGGGCATAAACATAAGTCGAGCATAAACTAAAAAAATAAAATAAATAAGAAAAATATGTAGATACATAGCAGAGCACAGAAGAACATAAACAGTGAATTCAGGCCATTGTAGCTAGAAATAAGCGGCGTTACCCATGTAAATAAGTGTGCAAATAATTTCTCAGCATGGCTCGTATTGGCTTGAATTAGACGTCGAGGCATTCAATCAACGCGCCGCGTCGTGCAACGGCAGGCTTCTCCCCTCCCCGCACAGCTGCCTACTCCCCACTACATGCCCGTTCGCCGCTCTCGTGGACAGATGAGTGCAATGGGAGCAGGCGTTGTGCAGGCCTGGCAAAGAGTAATTCAATGACAACATTCTTTATTTGCAAGGAAAAATCCTAATCGTTATCAGAATAAACAATTTCCAGCAGACCAATATTATATATTTCTGTTGTTTCAGCTATGATAATTCCCTGGAAGTAAGCAGGGTTGATCGGTGGAATGTAAGATACAAGATCCCTCTTTTTGTCCTTCGAGATCTTGGTCCAGGGTTTATATGATATTTTCCCATTGTTCGTCCGAATGAGGTTTCTTTTCTTATTTTGACTGACACTTACTTACGAGCGAAAATGAGAAGTTATCATTACGAGTTTTCTTATAATAGAGCTTCAATGGTTCTTTCTTCCGGAACGATGGGAACGGTTTAATCAGGGACGTACGGTAATTATTTTGTATACCCTAGTTGCTAGCGGCAACCATCTTCCCCCCTCCCATTTTTTTTTATTATTTGCTGTAATTGTGCTAATGGTGATGGCCTACCACTTTCAAATGCTTGATCCTTTTCGTGAAACTATCTCGTTGAAAATAGTATCCTCAAAATATCAATTATACACTCACTGGACGACATACTACATAGAGTTATTCCTGAATACTTGTTAGACAAAGCATATTTTCTACACTGCAAATTTACGACAATCCTCACAAAATAACGAGTACCCACGATAATACGTCACAATCAGTATAATGGACCACCACTGCATAAGGCATTGCTCTGACACGCACATTGATTCTCTAGGAAGAATACTCTGTGCTATTCACAAATTCGAGGATTCTAGTGATCTGATTACATGTGAGTCAGAACCTCCTTCCTCAGAAAAAATAATAATTACTCTACAGAACATTCTGGTTCACTCTCATTACATTGAGATAAATATGTGCCCCATAATCATTTTATAAGTTATAAACTTCTCGACAAACGGTACATTAAAATATACTAACAAAACATGCCATTTAAAATAATTTTTCATTGTGTAGCACAGGCTAATGAGTTATCACGTTCGCAGACAGGTCGAGCCAGACGAGGTCTGGCCTTAAAGCAACGTCATCCATCCCCCGCTGCGTTCAGTGCAATATCGGCTGCGGCTTCTCCTCGATCGCCTCCTACCTCTAGCTCAGTGAAGTAGATACGCGCGCAACACCCAGGTCCAGTGAAGATGTCAGAGCAGGGGTTAGAGCTCTGTAGAAGCAGTGGGCTGCCGCACAGATCGCAATAGAGTGTACAATGGGTGCAATATTTTTCATCGTGTGACATACGGTTCTTTGTAATTTTAATTCTCAAAATTCATCAAATTCTCATTTTAGTTACTCCAGCTGCGGGGGTTACTGGGCTTGAATGCATGCCACTGGGTTTAATATATTAAATATGTTCTAATGGCGCATCGGGTGCGTACTTGCGGAGTAGAACACGTCTAGCCCTCAAGGTTTCCTGCCGTGTTGTTCACAAAGCCGAGCCTTTGTGCGGCTTTGGGACACGTGAGCTATGCCCTGCTTTGCAAAGCAGTGACCGGACTGCCCAGATCATTAACTGTCCGCAGAAGGCTATGACATCTGTGGGAGATTCCGTACGGGTATTGACGTCGTACTTGCCCTTATATACCCCGCCCAGTAATGGCGAAGACCCTTGCTCCTAGAGACCCTGGCGGCAGCCGCGGAAATCCTTGACGCCCAACACTCGGTCCTTTGCTGCTGTACTGAGAGTGTACGAGAGGTTCAACTCTATTTGTAAGGATACAAGGGCACTTTGCCAAATATGCCTTCAGCCGACAATATTAAGGACACATTTATCTTTAGTACAGTAATATTTGTAGTTATTTATACACCAAGGGTGTTGTAAGGGTCTAATGATCGAGCAACAAGAAGTCCGAGGGCCTTTGGCCTGAGATCATTACCCGTGGTTCGTACAAGATTGTACTTTTTACCTTCGTTTATCATTTCCTAAATTTCTCATTTTCAGATTGACTTATTTACTAATTAACTAGATGTTTACTTCAATCTGTCTTTTCACTTTCACCATACTTTCAATTTGTCATTTCATATTTTCCTCGCAACCCTATAGAACATGAAGCATCATTCAACTATTTTCATATTTCCCTCGCAACCACGATCCTCTTCATCCAGGTATGTTATCCAGTGTATATCGAGCTCCGTATCGAAGACAGGAGGAAATAACATATCAGTAAAAAATAATCATATTTTTAAGATACCATTGTACGTGTGAATTCAAAACGTAACCAAAAGACTAGGCTTTAGATGCTCATTCCTCGCGAAGCATGACTCCCATCTACAAACGAGCTACCAACCAATGAGGCAATTTTCCGAACTACTTTTCCCCCCACCGTGGAGCTTCACTAAATAAATCTACTGTATTTGGAGCCATGGCACTGGTTTATTCGGGACATTTTCTCCTTTTATTATTATTTGTTCAAGATATTTTAGAGACCTGAAGCCTTTTAACCGACAGTTCTGTTTAAAGAAAATGTTTCTTCTTGAATTTGAAATCTGCCAATCATCAGGGCCAAAAATTACCTTGCCTCTCACGAAGGAATCATTGGAATGAATTATATTCATTAGGAATATAAAAGTCAGCACTTGCCGTAACTTAATGATCAGTAATTTCGGTGTTACCACTGTTTTGAAGCAATTTTGTAAGACCCAATTGAAACTTGCGAGATCTCTTGGGTCTATATATGTATACATACATTAAAATTGAAAAATGTTTGTGTGTATATTCTGAGTGTCTTTTCGGTGTTGCCCTATCCTCTTGCCAGCTGCCATCTATAGCCGCCCAAAGAACATTTTTTTTTTTTAAAAAAAATTTTCTCAACGTTTCGGTTTCCTAATGGTACAACCGATTGATTACTTAGAAAATATCAAAGATGATTAAAACCTTGTCTTATTTGTCAATTTGAAAATTTTGGAATCATTTTTAAGCTAAAGGCGTTAAAGCCACTCTGTAAATGCGAAATTTGAAGCTCTTTTTCACAGAAAGCATTTTAGTTTTAGAAAAACTTAATTTGAGCTCATTTGAAGCACGATCACTCTCAAATGCAAAAATGAGTGCAAATCGCTTGAAAGGTGCATATTAACGGCGTGAGAGAAAATTACATTTGTGTCATTAAAAAAATGAAAAGATACAGCAAAATGTATTTTGTAACATCTTAAGCAATGTATTTTGTACTATTCGTACAAAGCGTTTGAAGAAAAAAATTGGAGCTGTGTTTGACA